AATCTGTTCAACTGATTCTCCACAGATTGAGTTACTGTTGCAGAGCAGCTAGACAGAAGCCCTTATTAAGACCTACCAACATAGGAAAAAAACATAGAAAACAGACGAAAAAAGTGGGCAAGTGATATGATGACCAAGCCTCTGTACTTTTGGAAGACCGTATTGTTCTCAGACGAATCAAGATTCACTCAATTTTCAGACAGTGGAAGGATATGGGTCTGGAGAATGCCTCACCAAGAGTTTTGGCTCAACAGATTGCAGCCAACTGTGAAGAATGGTAGTTTCAGCATGATGGTTTGGGGAGCTGTTTGGGTTGGTGGTAGATCGAGCTTAGTGGAGTGCGTTAGCAACATAAATTTTGCGAAATATATCGAAATATTGGAGGAAGGACTCTTGCCACTTTATTCCTTGGGTTTCGTGGACAAGAACACAATGTTGTTCCAGGAAGATGGAGCACTGTGTCACACTACTAGAAACACCCAAAAGTGGCAGGAAGAAAATGGTATCCAGAAGTTGCCCTGGCCGAGCCAATCTCCTGACGGTCCATACTCGACCGGCAAGTCAATATGACTGAAAAATTTCATTTTTTCTGAAAAGGTGGTGTCTATTTACTTGTGACCATGTTGTGTATATACTAATGTAAATATATGGGTGTGTTGGGCTGAGGGTTTTTCTACGGTAGGTGTCTGTGACTTGGTGATAAATTCAAAAATAAATGAACAGCACGCACTTCACTTGTTTTTAAAATACTGTATGTATGTATGTATATATATATTATAAACAAGTTAAACATATGTACAAAATTCTTTACACTATGGAGATTATAGTTGTACCTAAAACACTATACAGTTCTCTTCTTATCAAAAGTCCACTTAGACCAATTCAGTTGCTTTAGAATTCAGTTGAAAGGTGAACCATTTTTATCGCAGTAGTATTCGTGTATAATTCACTTATGCTGTCACGTGAGTTACTGCAATTGTATCCTGAACTTCTAATAATTGTCTGCTTTTCTTACTTCCAATAATTGTCTACCTTTTGTCAAAGTACACACAGGTGAGTTCAATTAGTTTAGAACACCCTTTGACGAGACAAATTATTCTCCTTATTTCTTTCAAACTGTTAATCTCGCTCTAACGTATCAACCATTAGGCCATTCACTCCCACAACAGTTAACTTTATGTTTTCTAACTTTTTTCTGATTGAACTTCTCAGGTTGCAGCTATCTATCGGTTAGGCCTTCTAGAACTCTCTATAACCTTGATATTAATGGATTGCAAACTCAACATTTGATAGCCTCAACAGCAATGAATTACAAACACAAAATAAATTAATTAATAATAATACTTACACTAAACAGTCTTAAATATCTGACAATGGGAAAGATTTTCAAAACTCGGGTGCTGGTGTACATCTGAAACACCAATCTGCAAAGCTCTGTTCTTCAACTGGTCTGCATTTTAGAAAAATATAACAGATACTTTCTTACATTTTTATAAAATTAAATGTATAATAAATATATTTCTACTAAAGCAGTTGTGATTTTGATTGTATTTAGGACATATATGTAGTCTACTTGACCAGTGGGTAGAATATTAAGGTAACATCACTTATCCTGTGCTCAGATCTAATTGTTTTGGGTGTGGAGTGATAGAAATTGCATGCTCTTGAACAAATAACATGAAAAAATATAAACTGAGGCCTATTCTGTAAAGTCACTACATAATATTTATGTATATTGCTTGAATGTTATTACAAATACTGGTTAGCAAAATACTGTACATGTACATCACTTTTCTTCCAATCCTAACAGTTTTTTGTAAGGGAATTGCCCTGTTTTGTGTTTATTTTAATTATTCTTTTATTCTAGAGCTTCTCTTGTATATTGTAATGTTCCTATGTTAAAAAATGTAAATCAAAATGTTGGCAGGCCTAATAGCCAATTTTTGGGAAAGAAAACTTTTTATGCCAGTCATAATTTCACATAAGATGTGAAGAATGTATTAAGAAAATCTTTGATATGCCTTTTGGTCATGAAGATTTCACCCTCAAAAAATGGGACCACTGACAATGGGCACTAGATAGAAATGTAATTGAGATTAGAATATATTTGAATGTGACAAGGTATTAAATATTGGTTTGAGTTCACAATATCTAAAAACTTTGTAGCGTGTCCTATGGCCAAAAGAATCTGCAGGACACACTGTGTGTTATTAACAGCTTATCTCTCTTTGGTTAACTTGTGTTCAGGGTTACTGATAAGGAGTGGAATTCTCCAAAACTAGTATAGCCCAGTAACACATGTTGATCAAAGTGTAGATTGAACTGGACCTCCCTTCAACTTAGACTTCAAGATTAAACAATTTTTGGAATACTAAGTTTATCTATCAACAGGGGTGATAGTTTAGCAATTTTCGGATTTCTGTAGGTCAGACTGTGGTAATCCAAGAAATCACATATTTTCAGTGGATATACTTTACTGGATCCATACTTCACATACCAAATTTCAAGGCAATCGATTAAGAACTACACAAGATATAAAATCTCCAATTTAGATTGAATTTGTTTTTCATTGCACCAAAAATATTGAAACTGTATTTGATAGAAAAACATACTTCACTTTCATGATTTTTTTCCAAATTTGGTACACTGATAGATCTTTACAACCTATAATTAGATGTTAAATTTAGTCTAACTATAAGCCAGCCACATGTATCTATTGCAAAAGGCTGCCTCATGAGGTTCATCATGTTCAAAATACACCCCTCCTCCCTACAACTTTCTATAATACATTTAGGGTACAAGGGTGACAGTTTCCCAGTATCTTTTTCAACAATTCGATGAAAGACAAATCCATAAGTACTCTGTTCAGCAACTTTATTGGGTATGTTTTCATGTGAAATAGCCTGAATATGTGTTTCATTATCCAAATATTTGAAATATGCAGTGGTTGTAGTAATATGTCCTGGAAGAACTTCTGTACATGCGTATTATGTTCTTTTTTTCAAATGGATATCATATTTGATTAAGTTGTGTCCTGTTGCCTGGGCTGTGAGGACAGCTTTTGCCACTGACCTTTGCATTATGGATTCTCATTACAAGATGTCGCATTTTGCTTACCTCAACTGGGATATGACTTATTGCAGGTCTCTTTTCGGATGATCCTGATGACCCAAGTTGATTAGTATTCCTTTATTTACCTATGTCATTCAGTATAAGGAATATATACCCTTCTTGCAAATTCTAAATACTCTATTTGAACATACTTTATGATCTGCTTGTATGACTATTTTGCATTGAAAAGGGCTTTTATATAACCTTTCCAAAAGCAGTCAGTTTTAGGTGGCATCACACAACTTACATCAAACAATGCCAAAATGTATTTATTATATATTTTGTTTCATCCTGACCTTATATCAAAGTTATTTTAATATAATGTACTCAAACCTCTTTTAGGTCCAAACAATCAGCCCAATAACTATAATCAATAAGTAGTTTTTATGGTAATGTTATCAACTGTTGTGAACATTTTATTGTTTAAGTAATCACTGAATATTTTTATATATGAAACTCTGTAAAAAACAAAACTTTTTACCAAGGCATGTTCTATGAGGTAGACTATACATATTTGTGTTTGTGTTTTCTCTTTCTCATCCTTCTTCTTATGCATTTGACAGGTCTGCAAGATCAGGATGCAAGAATGAAAGGACTTTTGTCATTGTTCCATTCTCTTCCATCAATCAACCAGGGAGTCATCAGAAAACTTCTTGATCATATGGTTAAGTAAGTGTCTTTATAAAGACTTCAAGTATTAGGTCGTCAAGAAATTAATGTCGCTTCTTTTTAGATGAAAAAACCCTAACAACTTATGTATCAAAACAAAACATTTATTAAATGAAATAGTCTCCATTCTTATTGATGATGGTTTTCCATCTTACAATCAGGTTGTTAATGCCCTGATTAAAGAAATCACTTGGCTTTGAAGCAAAAACATGTCGATGTTCTCTTTAACACCTTCCACATTTGCATACGTTTTCCCATTAAGATGATGTTGCAGCGAACGAAAAAGATGATAATCTGATGGTGCCATATCTGGAAAATATGATGGGTGGGGGTAAACTTCCCAACCCAACTCCATAATCTTGTGATGCGTCAAACGTGCCACGTGTAGACGTGCATTGCCGTGGAGAAGAACACCTTTCCGATTGACGAGTGATGGGTGTTTCTGATGAAGAGCTTGATTTAAACGTTCCAGTTGTTGACAGTTCGCTCTGAATTGAGGAGTTCGAAATGAATTATTCCTTTGATGCCCCACCAAATACAAAGCATCACTTTCTGCGGATGGAGTCCAGGTTTTTGGGGTCGGAAGTGGATTTTGTTTAGGACAGGGCCATTGTTTTTGGTGTTTAATATTCACATAGAGAATCCATTTTTCATCACTAGTGACAACTCTGTCCTAAA